TGAAGGAAACGTGTGCATACTTACATCCCAGAGGACACAGAGCCCTGGGGTTGCTGAGGGATGTGACTGGTAAGGCTGCCTGCACCTACAAGGCTGCCTGCACCACCATTCACAAGGTGGTGAATGACATTGATGCTGTAGCCTCTAGTTTTTAGCCTGGAAGGAAGGACCTGGAACTTTGGGTCCCCTGATGCCTACTGTTACATCACTCCTAACCAGCCGATGAACGGGTGTAAGTCTTTCATCAAGGATAACCCAGTGGTGTCAACCAAAGATGCCTCAGACCAGGATGACTGGGAAGCTGGGAAGAAGTTCTCCACTAGCGCAAATGGCATCCAGGTGGTAGAGGGTGGTCTCACAGTGCCCGAACACAAATGAATTACCAAGCCTATGGACAAGAATGCATGCCGCTGCCTCCTGCTCAGAGTGAATCAGACACCCATCCGGATGGCAGACTGGCCCAGTCCAAACATGGGGCACCACACTTCCCGTTGTGCATGGACAGTGGGAGACACTTTCACTGCCAGCCACGTGGTGAGGACCTGCACTGGATCAACCCAGGCTAGACCCCTTGCCCATCTGAGCTCTTGGCCAAGTACAATCAACTCCTCAGATGGACTGCAAAGCTCAATTTTCCAGCAACAACTCCAGGAAGCTCCTACTCAGTAAGCTCGGGGCAGGAGAGCCCCTGTCAAGCCCCGGTCAGCTGGTGGGACCTGTGACCCTTTTTTAATCATCAGTGATCAAGGCTTCAGACACAGCATTTTGGCACGGCCTCTCCTCCTCTTATCTCTCTGATGTTCTGCCTCCTTAGAACTGCTACCTCAAAAGCCAGGCTTCTGACCCATGATGCCACACAAATGAACCTTTAAAAACATTATACAGAGCAAACAAAGCCAGACACAAAGGATAAATATGGTATGGCTCCACTTACATAAAATATCTAAACTAGGCAAATTCGTGAAGATAGAGAGGATAGACAGCTGGGGGTGGGGAGGGACTGGGGGTTGTTGTTCAATCAGGACAGGGTTTCCATTTGGGGTGACAGACGTCTTCTGGAGATAAACAGTGGTGATGGCTCCACAATATTGTACATATGCTCATGCCACTGAACTGTACACTTACAGGGGTTAAAGTGGAAATGCTATGTTATATAGGTTTTATCACAATAAAAAAACCCACCTGACCCCTGCTGGAAACCTTAACTCTATTCACATGACTGACCCCAAATGCATCATCCCTTCCCTTGCTTGTCTCTCCACCCTGGGTCCATGGGGCCGTATGACTACAATACATTCCTTGGGGACAAGAGGCAAGAACCCCAGTGGTTTACACACAACTTGAAAAAAAGCATTCCATATTCTCCCAAGACTACGAAGGAAGAACCATCTGCAAATTCACGAATTGTGCTTTAGTTTAATCTCCCACTCTGAAGACTAATCAACTGTTTCAGTTGAGTCCAGACTCTTAATTAAAGCTGTCAGTGCCCGAGAGTTCATTTACAGAGCCCGAATTTCCAGTGAGGAATCAAGAAGGTAGGATATTCTAACAGAGCTACAAAACCCCAGGCTTGGATGAGGAGGCCAAAGAGAAATGCGCTTGTCAGGTTCAGAACCTGCTTCTTACCAAAGGCAGACCCGACTGTGCGTGGTGTGTTTCAGCACACCACTTATTGCCTTCGTTTCCTGGGTATGCTCTACTCAGAGGTAATGTTGTGTCAGGGGCGGAAAGGAGACTGACGCCCTAAAACATGAGCTTGACAGTAGCTAGTCTCTGTCATTACTCTGGCTGGAGTCCTTCACAGGTCAAATGGCCAGTGCTTATTATGACTATTATGCCTTGTTTTAGAGAGTTCTTTATAATGCACCAAATGCTTTCCCATGTATTTTCTCCTTTGGATGATCTAGGCATCTATGTTTCTGTGACTTCAGCATGTAACAAATTATCTTTAGCAAATTTTTCTCACTTAATCATCCTCTTCTGTCACTCAACCAGGCAGGTACCGGCACTCTCCCATCACAAGGGCTGTATGCTTATTTTAATAACACTGGAGGCAAAAGCTAATTAGGGAAAAAATCCCTTGCCATTTCAAGTCATTCATTTTGAGCCAAACATCTGCAGTCTGAGAGTCTTTGAATGACAGCCTGCCCCATTCTGTGGATATCTGAGAAGTAGAACTTTGTCTTGTTCAGGCATAAATGATACGCAGGAACATGGCATGCAAACTGCAGGAAAGACCTGGGAAGAAAAGTCCCATGTAATGTTGCACCAGGTCACTCAGGAGGCAGGTGGGGAGGGGAGCTATGGTCAAGAGCCTTTACTGTGGTTCCCATGGGAAGGGAGGGTGAGGCTGAACAATTTCAGTGGGCTCTGAGGCACAGGGGCTGTCCCTAGTTGCCTAGTACCTAGCTCTGAGGGGAGGAGGGGAAGGTGCGAGAGACCCCAGTCCAGGAGATGGCAGGGTACGGGCTCCAGGTGGGTTGGCTTGTGTTTGAAAGGTGCACCCCAAGGAGCGTGGTTGGCCATCTTTGGGGGCCGGCTGCCTTGGTCCCACTACCACAGACAGAAGCATCCACACGGTGGAGCCTGCTAGGATTTCATGAAAGACACTGACCAGGGTCTACTGAGCTTTTCTGTGTATAAGCAGAGCTTTAAATTTCTATCAAGTCAAATTCATCTACATTTTCCATTACAATTTCTTCTTATACTTCTGAATTTAAAAAGTCTTCACATCCTTCATAGCTCACCAAAGATTTGATAAACTTTCTCTTCCATTTTCTTATCAATTTCTTATAAGTTGTCTTCCTTAATTTTTAATTTATAATTTCTATGACTTAAATTTTATTTATAAATATTTATCGTTAATCTATATTATTAATGGTTAACATATACAACATACAATGCATTATATATTATTAATTTTAATTAAATGTTTTTAATCATTTAAATATTATTTATTTCAGTCTTTCCCAGAGGGTGCTATAAGTGGTCTTGGTAATAATGTAATATGATTTGGGGTATTCCATTGACACAAGTATTCTTGTGTTAGTGGTTTAATGATTTTGTGGTTTTTTACAAATGAGTGTATATAATCGTGGTACCAAACCTATATTTTCACAGATGGCTTTGCTTAGTTTAAGTTTTTAAAGATGAACTCATTTTAAACTTTATGTAGAGAATAGTACAAGTGACTAACAAATACAGCAAATGGGCATGGGGATATGAAAATTACTGAAACTTGGGAAACATCAGCTGGATCCACTTGAAATTTACTTTGCTGTCTAGAGTAGGGTAACACTCCACTGATCCCCTAAAACTCACCTCCAGATTGTAAACCAACCACTCCAAACCATTTACTGAGTTTCTCACTGACAATGACGTATAGATATCATGTATCGATTCACATGTGCAGCATTTCTGGAGAGCCTGTTCTTGTTCCATTAACCTTTGATTAGTCTTGAGCTATTATCAGAGTCTTAATCACTGTGCTTGACTTAATGTCTGGCCCAGCAGGTCTTCCCTCCCTGCAAGGAGTGCTAATTTTGAGGACTGGGGTCAGCATAGGGGACGTCGGAGGTCAGTGACGTGAGGACAGCGGCCTGCCCAGGAAAGCCCCTGGGGTCTGACCTGTGTGGATTAGGGTTACAGAGCCAGAGCCAGCCAGATAGTCCTGGACCCAGAGTTAGAAGTCAAGAGCTCCGCTGTCCCAAGAGTAAATGGGAGGGACAAAAAGAAATACTAGATATTGATTTAAAGTGGGAAGAACCAATGAGTCTGCATAATTCAGAACTAGACTGGGATTGATGAAATTCGAGGCACTAGGCACATCACAGCATCCTTTCTGTTGTCTGGTCATCCGGCTGTGAAAGGGGAGAATATTGCCTGCTGCCAAATAGTTTAAAAGACATTTAAGTCTATCAGGAAAAGACATGTGTATGTGTTTAGAAACACACACACACATTGTATCTTCAAGTAAGCTCAGGCTAAAGAAGGCCGATAGAAAAATCCAGACTAAAAACCACTGTGGAAATAGGCATTAACCTCCCCCAGAGAGTTCTCATTAAACCACATTATTCCTTAAAATACACAGCTTTCCCAGTGATTTTAACTGTTTCTTTGGAGTACACCAACACTTTGAGAGGCCAGGTAGAACTTAAAAAAACAAGAAAAGTATGAAGAACCACAACCATACATTCTCAAACTACACATCCTATAATCAGTAGGAAAAATAATTTACCTTAAAATAATTAGTCTCACATACAACTTTTTAAAAACCAGTACATAGGGCACAAAGTGGGCAAGGTACCAGGGTAAGATGGATTCATCAATCCCCTGGCCCAGGGGTGAGACTTCATGGTCCAGCAGCCTGGGTCCAAATGCAATTTGTCAGAACTGAAGGGACGGTGGAGGTGGAAAGGGCCTGAGAATGCTTTTACTTCAAAAACGTATCCCCCAGAGGAATGAGCAAAGGACCCCCCATTAGTCACCCATCTCCTGCTCCTCACGAAGTGACACCACTTAACATTAACTTCTTTTGCCACCAAAAACCAAACTGTCATCACATTTTGTTGAACTTCTTGCGTCTCAAGTTTGGGGAAAATGTGGTGGACAACATCTTCGCACATGTGAGTGGAAGCCCAAGAACGTAGGGGGCAGATGCTGCAACATGCTGAGGAACAGCATCCTATGGGATTAACCAGAGGAAATTAATCCCACAGGACTTTGTCTTAAGACTCAAATGCAAGTCACAAGTGGGAACCTAGGTGTGAATTAAAACAAGTTCACATGGGAGGTAGGGGAGGATCTGGGAGGTCTACTTCCCTGTAAAATGCTTGTGTTCGTGGCTGGGTCAAGATGTTGCCCATCTTGGAGAGGCTAGAGTGAGACCTCGTCCACCCTCTCTAGTTCTCCAAGGCCAGCTGTGGGATCTCCTGATGATGGAAAAGGGCTTTGCAAAGAAGAACTGGGTTTATAAATAATGCATTTCCTTTGTCTTGCAGGAATTCTGGAGGCAGAGGTACAATCAGATCGGCTGTGAACAACTTACATAGCAAATCTAATAGGTTTGTAAATTAGATTTTGTGTTCATTTGTTTTTGCTGTAAGGCAGCTATTAATCTGCTTCCCCTCTTTGCTGGATGGTGCCCTTCTTACTTAGCAAAGAGATCTGTTTTGTTTCACTTTGGCTTTGCACTGCCCTAATCACTCTGGGGGGTTTGGAGGAACTGTCCATAAGAGAGAGTCCATGAAATGGCCTAAAGTCTGGAGGCTGCGGAAGTGGAAAACTCAGATGCTAAGAGTCACTTTCTGGAAAAGAGTCCACCCCACTCTGAAGCACTTGGACCACCAAAGAGCATATTCATAATTTGCACTTTTGTTGGCCAGTGGAGACTCTGAATGGAATCAGAGCTTTCACCCAGTTTCACTGTAGATCACTTGTCCAGGATGTTAAGATGGAAAAGAAAACATTCAGAAACTTTGCTGAGAACTCTTAAAAACACTGGAGAGTTGATTCAGCAAGGTCGGCTTGATAATTGAATGCACCTTCTAAGTTCTGAGACTGTTCCCTCCCATGACAGTTCTTGGTCTGGGGACAGCCTGATGCAAGGGAGCAAGCGAATGTGTTGTAATCCAGCAGATCCAGGCTTGCCACTGCCGATGCTTGGACCATGCCTCTGAGTCCCCATTCTCCAGGGAAAACTGCCCCATAGCTCTGACCTGGAGTCTTAGAAGCCCAAGCTTAAGAAGCAATGGAAGGAAAAAGAGAATGCCAAGTTATCTGACACAAACGAAGGCCACTACTCAAAACAGAGAGCTTGCTTTACTTTCTCAATATCCTATTTTGGTCAGTCTGGGAATGAGAGGTCCAGTTATTCAGAGTAAGGTATATTACTTGCCCTTCCAACGTTTTTAGGTCTCTAGATCATGTGACACCTGCCCAGAATGGCCATTCCTGACCCTAGAGGAAAGACTCAGGAAACTGTCCTCTCTGTCCCTGAAACCATTGCTTCTGTATCTCAGAATGACCTCTTAACTGTCTGGAAGCTACCAGTGAAACTTACGCTATGCCTGGTGAAATGCAGACATACCACATGACCTTCTTCCACTGCAGAAGACACCTTCTTTCTGAAAAGGAAGCTCCTGCCCCTGGAGCAGGATCTCCCATGTTCCATGGTCACCTGGGGTCAGGGGCAGGGTCTGCAGTCTTCTTGGGAGCCAGACAGACCTAGATTCAGTCCCAGGGTGTGTATGCAGGGACCTTGGACAAGTTATTTTACCCCTCTAAGCCTCAGTCTCCTCATTCAGTTACAATGATGATACACCTTTTTCGAGGGGAGTTTCAAGGATGAGAACCTGTGACTAGAAGGATCTAGCCCAGCCTGATGTGTTCAAGGCATGCAGCTGATGCATGCTCCTGTCACTGTGGGCGTACTCGTGGCATCAGGAGATGGGCGGAGAAACATAAGCCTGACATGAGACTCCAGTGTCCTTGGGGTGGACAGCGTGCTAGGGGCAGGAGGGCACGTTCATTGAGGAGAACTCTCTCAACTCACTCATCCAGCCCAGTTCATGCAATCCAGAGCACGAACAACCATGAAGAGAGGTGGTCCCAGGGTCATCTACAGGGGCGTCCAACTGGTGACCCGGGACAGCTGTGAATGCAGCCCAACGCAAAACTGTAGTTACTTGAAACATGATGAGATTTCTTTTTTTGTGATTACATGTTGCAGTGTATTTAATGTGTTGCCCAAAATAACTCTTCTTCCACTGTGGCACAGAGATGCCAAAAGGTTGGACACTCAAAATCCATCCCTTGATTTTACAGATAAGATGACAGGGATCCAAAGAGACTTTCCCAAGAACCCCAGCAAGACAATGACAGAGCCAGGGTTTAAGTTCAGTAAAACCGTGGACAGTTAGGCAAAATCCCATCCAAGTTTCTCTAGGAAGTAGACAGAGAAACAGAATTTGACTGCTGTCTGTGCCAACGTTTCTCTTTCTTTCCCTACCCTCATCGCCTGTATCCCAGAGCAGCCTGGAAGCCCGTTCTGCAGGCTTCTGAGTAGGGCTCCCCTGCAAGGGGTGCTGTCCCCGTGCTAGAATATCTCTGCGCATTGTTCCTGCTGAGCGTGCCCAGGGGCACCCAATGTGTTCATTTCTGACGAGCATCACCCAAGACTGAATCCAAATTAAGCCATAAGAGGCCTCATCACCGGTTTCTGATGAGACTATCAACTCACCTCTTAGGAGGACATCTCCACGTCACAAATATCACAACATTTCTATAACATGTGCCTACTGACACGGCTGTGCTGAAGCTTGGGGTCTTGGGTGCAGCAGCTAAATCAGTGGCCCCGAGGGTCACTGTTCCTACCTGTGGCCTTACACAAAAGCAGCACTACCACAGAAATGCAGCCACAAGCAGCTCCCACTGGAGCCTCATGGGATGGCAGCCAGTGATAGGAACCAGTGATTGCCAGTCCGTATAGAACTCTAGAACCTTAGCACTGGATATCTTCTGCTTCTGTACCTTTTTTCTAGACATGGAAACACTGAGGCTTAGGGAATTAAAGTGATTTTCCCACAGTCACACCGCTCGTGAAATCTTACCACTACACCTTCTGCTTCCTGTAATGAAAGCAGAAAAAATTCCAAAGGGTCAGGTCCTCTGTACCTCCCATAGGCTTCCCTTAGCCTGCATGTTAGCAAGGACTCAAAAACTCTTCATCCTCTGCAAGAGCTACTCTATCTGAACCCGAGACAAGGGGCACCATCCAGAGGAGTCAGGAATCCTGAAAAATAGGGAGAAAGTGCACAATGTGCATCTTCAAGTGAACTTCTCTACCTGCACCAGCAAAACAGAGCACTGGGTTTAGACCCCATTAAAAAGCTGTCATCTTTTTTGAATTGGCCGTTCCAAGGTAAATGCAAAGGACAGAGATGCCTGGTTGGGATTCTTTAAAGCTCCAGAACTGGGCATCGCAAAGCCAGTTCTCACTGGGACTGGGAGAAGCTGCTGTCAGCACAGACAAAGGAGCGCCTGGCATGACCCACATGCATCTGCGTGCTGCTGGTGGAGGCAGGCGGCTCCTGCCTTTAGAGATGTAATTGTAACCTAGTTTCTTAGAAACCTACTAGCACAGATTTCAAGTCTCTGAAATCAGGCAGGTCCTGGAATGCCCGGGGTTCCTGAGCTGGGTGGAAAGGTGGTACGCACTCAGAACTATGATTTCTCCCACGTGTATAGAGCCAGCCAGCTCTTTATCCAGGCTCCCCCAGGACAGAATTCAAATTTGAATCCAGCAAACACTTTCACTGAGCACCTGCTATGTGAGGGAGCTCCCCTGCTTACAGTCTAGTGGGAGAGATGCAGCACAGATACCTCAAACAAGGCAGATGTTTGAAGTGGCCTCTCATCCTTTATAAGGATGGAGTGTACGATCGGTGGGGAGATACAAGTTTGTGCTTTCTCTCCATTAGGTCTATTAACCATCATGATATCAGGCTGCTAATGCAACTGCTATTTGGAGTTTTACGAAAGTAACCTGGAGAAGTATTACTATTCTGACCACGGCGGCTATGCCGCACTGGGAGGAAACACTAGGAATGGGGTGGGAGAAAGGCAGTTTATCACCCCCTTCCCACTTCCAAGAATGTACGCAGGTTACGCCCTAGGGACAAAGTTTGTGCATTCTAGAAGATAAATAGACCTCCTTCCCTTCTCAGGTAATAACTGCAATCTTGCTCTTCCAAAGTTTACATCCAAGCCCCAGCAAAAACAAAACTATTAGGCTTGTCATTGGCATGCTAACAGATCATGTTTACCCTCTTCCTGTGTCTTTTCCCCTTCCAGAGCTGAAGTTGTAATAAATGGCTCCTCATCACCAGCTGTTGTTGACAGAAGTAATGAGAGCATTAAACACAACATCCAGCCGGCCTCAGCCAAGTGGAGGCACAACCAGACGCTGTCTCTGAGGATCAGGTAGTGGTAATTACCTCTAGGATGAGAGACAGGCTTGCCCTTCTTCAGCACAAGCCCATAAATTGCTGCTCTCTATCACCCAAAGAAGTCAGGATAGAAATAAAATGTTTACCTCCCACTGAGGCAGGTTTCCTCTGTAAACGGTCAATCGGAAATAAAAGCCCTAGGCAGGCCCTGCCGCCCAGAGTGTGTGTGTGGCCCCTCAGCTGGTGTGTGTGGGGGGAGGGGGGCGGTGGCAGGAGCTGAGGTCATGGGGCTGGAAGGAGTGGGGCTCTCATGTCAGCAGCAGCAAGAGCCTGGGGTGTGGAGGCCACAGGTGGCTTCTCCTGGGGACCAGGAAAGGAGATCCAGGGAAGGAGGCGTTTCTTGCTTAGGACTGCCTTGCATCTATGCCCTTTTCTGAGGTGCCAACCCTCTCCTACTTGTAGAGTCTTGGAGAGCTCCCTGCCCGACACACACTCACATATACACAGTCCCGCGGCTTGAGCAAACTGCCTTCCCAACAACACGGAAATGAGAAGCCATAGCTGGACTGGCTGGCCCGGGAGCTGGCACAACACCTGATGGCAAAGGCCGAGCTCTGCCGTTGCTGGGTGGTGGGAGTGGGAACCCGCCGTGTAGGAATTTCAGCTTCCCCACTGTGGCTACGTGCCTTTGATGTAGCTGCCACTGTCCCAGCAAAGACTGGCAGTGTAATCCAACCACTCATTTCCAGGCACTAGCTGGGGGGCCCGGAGTGCTGACATGAATCGGGCAAGTTAGTGGGGAGACACTATAAGCAAAGAGAGGACAGTATGGTGTGGTGTACACAACAGGCAGAACTGTATCTTATAAACAGGCAGAGATAAAAAGCTCATCTGAGGAGACAGGACCTCATCTTGTAAGAGAACCAAAAGGGCTGGGCAGGCAGGGAGTGGTGGGTTTTAGAGGATGATTAGGAGTTTGCCAGACATGCCGAGCGCCATATATATCCCTTGTATGCCATCTGAAGTCTGGTGTTTGTGCTCAGTGCTACCAGCACGCAGAGCAGGAGGGAGGGCACGGGGTGAGGAGTTGGTGGGGTAGCCAGGACTAGATAGGGAAAGCCTTGACTACGATGGTGACCTGCCCAGGCCATAACCATGGGGGGGGGGGGGAAGCAGAGAACAAGGGGCGGGAGCACAGTGATCAACCTTGCCCAGAGCTGCCAAAAGTACCACCACACAGAGCAAGGAGGTGTGCCCTCCAGGTACACGCACTGTCAAAACAGAAATGCTCCCACATGCTCATTCTCAAGGCCTAGTTCTGGGAGGTGAGGGAGTGTTGGGGACAGAGAGGGAGATCTGAGACCTGGCAGCTGAGACAGAAGAAGCTGACTCCCCTCACCACCACCTGCCACCCCTCCCTGAGCACCTCTTCTGAGCCCCCTGGACGGACTCTCCACCCTCATCACACTGCCCTAACAGCCGCAGGCCTGCACACTGACCCTGGATCAGCAGCGCCGTGGAACCAGTGAGAACACCTCTTAGTTTCTCAGGACTGCCAAAACCACTTCCCACCCACCCAGTATGGGAAGCGGCTTACAACAACAGACGCTTACTCCCTCTCGGTTCTGAAGGCTCCAAGAGAATCTCCCCTGTCCCTTCTAGCTTCAGGTGGCTGTAGTCTGTCTGCATCTTGTGGCCACATCATTCCAACCTCTGCCTCCGTGGTCACGTGGTTTTCTCCCCTGTGTCTGTGTTTTCTGCTCCCCTCTCCTATAAGGACACTTGCCATTGGATTTAGGGTCCATCTGGGTAATTCAGGATGTTATCATCCCAAGAACCTTAATTTTAATAACATGTGCAAAGATGCTTTTCCCCAACTAAAGCCACATCACAGGTTCCAGGGGTTAGGAGGTAGACATACATCTGGGGAGGGCCACTGTTCACCCCACTCCACCAGCTGTGAGTGACTGGCTCTTCCTCCTGCTACCCAGGCAGAGACTCGAACTCCTGCCCCTTCTGGAGAAGACCAGAGTGTGGCCCTCATGGGGTCTACCTCGGCAGGAACAACGTGCCTTCACTCCCAGGGGAAAGAACTCCCTTCAGCTTCATTTAATCACAAAAATTATTTATAATAAAAGATTCAGCAAGATATTTGGAATGGTGTTTAATAATTGATAGTAATTCCTTACACTTGGTTAGAAATTCATCTCCTCACACAGGTGTTTATTTATGGGCTTTCTGGAGGCTCCCTTTGCTTTTCAGTGCATTGGGATAAATCACTACAAAGGTTTTTAGCATTTCCCAAACTATATTAGTTTGTCGAGTTGTATAATACTTAGTAAAACACAGTAAGTTAAAATAATGCCTCTGTCTTCTATCAAGAGATACGAATTACTCTGCAAGAGGGCTTCCCCGGAATGAGAGCAAGAGATACAGGTCACTGAAGGAGAGACGTTCGGAAGGAAGGAGAGCGCGGTGCCTGCCGAACAATCTAGCTGCCCCTTGGCTACAGCAGAGGTGCTCCAACCTGGACACGTTAAATCACCTGCGGAGCTCTAGGAAGTGTGCTGAGACCTGAGCACCCCACTGGGAGGCACCATGGGGCAGCAGTGGAACCATCTGTACAATGGGGCGCCCATCTTGCAAATTCTTTCATTTGCAAAGCATGTGAAGATTCTGTCCCTCTGGGGCTCTGGGGAAAAGCAGACTTTATATCTGAAAAGGCATCATTGTATTTGTTCTAGATGGGAGCTCACTGCAGGAAATGAAATTCATTTCAGCTGATCTGGGTATCAAATTTCTCTCTACATATACTTGAATCATTTCTAATGATATTTTTGGTGATTTAGAAAGGAAAACCTCTGATTCCTGGGGACCAGGCCCGCATGATTTGAGTAAATCTCTCTGGTTCTTCTTATAGGACACCCATCCTTTTTATGACTACATCCTATGCTAGATGATTCTAGAACTTTTCCCCTAAAGCAAAGTCACCCAAGAGCCTACAAAGCTGCCTTCTGATCACCTTTGCTTTGAAACAACACAAAGCAACCATGCTCTGTGGGACTGGAGAGGCATCACTACTTACAAACTTCCAACTAGACGGCAGTTAGGGGGTGGGGAAATCACACCCCACGAAACAGACCAGCTGAGGACTCAGTCTCTCAAAGGGAGAGTGATTGACATACCTCATGGTACCCACATTCACATTCACCTCCTGGGAGGCCCCTAGGCCAGGGAAGGCTTCCAAGGAAGAAAATAGGCCACTGAGGAATGAGGGGCATTTGTCATTCCTTTCTGCACCTAGTTCAGGATTCACGGCCAGAGGAGGGCCCTGAATCCTGCTAAAGGAAGGGGAGTAGTGTGACCTCCGCTGGGTTTCCCCGAGATGGAGGGTTTCCTGGGAACTGCGGAATCCAGGCCGTCCTGGGAGAGCCAGGATGCGGGCCACCCTCTGTGGCAGGCTCACTCGAGTTCGAATGCAGTCATCTACCGTGGCAGCTTGCACTCCTCATGAGAAGTGGGCATACTGGGGCAGCCAGATTGGCCGCCACCATAATTGCCGCTAGGCGATTTCTGACAGTCCCTGCCGAGAACCTCTAAGGGCATCTGACCTCTCAGCTCCGTCTGTGTGCTGGGCTCCAGCCGCCCTGCAGGGTGACACAGGACAGGAAAAGCTGGGTTGGCAAAGGGCCACTTGTACAAGGGAGACTTATCCTTATGTATGTTTGGTTCTTGCAGGAAACAAATCTTAAAGTTCTTGGATGCTGAAAAGGACATTTCTGTCCTCAAGGGGACGCTGAAGGCCGGAGACATCATTCACTACATCTTCGACAGGGACAGCACAATGAACGTGTCCCAGAACCTTTACGAGCTCCTCCCCAGAACATCCCCGCTTAAGAACAAGCACTTCCGGACTTGTGCCATTGTGGGCAACTCGGGGGTCTTGCTGAACAGCGGCTGTGGCCGGGAGATCGACACACACAGCTTTGTCATAAGGTACCTACAGCAGTGACTCTTGGCCAGGAGTAACAGGCATTCTGAAGCTGAACTGTCACGAGGTGTCCCAAGAGGTTGAAACAAGACACACTAGTTGGGTTAGCCTCAAACTTGTGGGATGTGTAACAAGTGTACAGTGTGAGTAGAATGGAATAAATGCATGTAAATAGAAAAAAATATCGATGCCACTGGTCTGAACCTTGACTGCACGTTAAAATCACATGGGAAACTTATAAAAGTCCCAACGTCCAGGCTGCACCCCAGACCAATCACATTGATCTGGAGGGTGAGGGGCATGTGGCCCAGGGAGCCCAGTAATTCTGTTACGCAGTTATGGTTGGGAAGGGCAGAGGTAGGCGGTCCATGGCCCATAACCTATTTTTATCAATAAAGTTTTATTGGCACACAGCCATACCCATTCATTTTCATATCCTCAAAGGCTGCTTTCTTACTATAATGTAGTATTGCACAGTTGGAAAGGATTGAACTATTGCAATAGAAAATGCGTACAGCACTTTTTTTTAACCTGCAAAGCCTAAAATATTTATTATCTGACTCTTCACAGAGAAAGTTTACTGACCCCTGGATAGAACCTGATACAAAAGATTAGTAAGAAAATCTCCTGGTTGGTCCAAGTTTGCAAAACTCTTTCAAGCATTGGAGATTATACTGTACCAGTAATTTTATATCCTTAAGTCAAAATCTGGGAAGTGAGAGAGCAACAAAGAAACCTGAGTTTTGTACTTGACCATTATTCCAATTAAAATATCACCTCTCACTTTTCAGTCACCTGGGACTCACCTGGAAACAGTTACGCAGGGCTCTGACACCCGACCCCTAATCCAGACAGACCCAGAAACAAGGTCTTGCTGTCCCCTGGTCAAAAGTAGGGCACATAGAGCCTCAAGTTTCACCCCAAACATTGTCCCGGCCCTGGAAGAATTGGACACCGCGTCTCACATTTCTGCTGGGATTGTCCCTGTGCAAAGAGAGCCTTGTCCTGGGGCCCTGGGAAGCAGGCTCATCCTAGGGCTCCCTGAACCTCAGAATGTGGGACAGGACAGCGTGTTTACTTCTACAACCACTGGGATGGAAAAGCCTGGCAGCTGAACCTGCTTCAGTTTCTTATCTTTTGCCAGGTTCTTTTATAATTTGCTCCAGGCCTTTATAATGGCTCAGCCCCCACCTCTCAATGCCCTCCAGTATAAATATTGAAGGAGGAAGAGAAAAAGAAAATGTAGCAGGTTAGTCTGATTGGGAGCCAGAGAAGGGGTGAGGGTGGGGTGTGGCGGGCAACAGGGAGAAAAGGTGGAGGTGGAAAAACCAGCGTGGGGAAAGGCAGCTTCGTGGATCACGGAGGTCATGGCCAGACCACACACAGGTTGCTGAAGGTGCTGCTGGTCCCCACAGAGTCCCCATGAGCTGTAATGCCAGGTTTAGGAGACTAACTTAGGGTATATGTGTGCAGTCAATTCCCAGATATTTGGGGATGAAAACTTCATTGTGCACATGCACACACACACCCTTTCATAGGGAGAATCCCATAAACAAATGCCCTTCTACATGGCATTTAATTAACTTGCTTAGTTCTCCCAACAACCCTGTCAGGAATGTTTGACTGTGTCCTGGCTTTTGCAGTGAGGAAACTGAGGTACAGAAAGTCAGAAGTGGTTGCATGGCTAGATCAGGCCAGTGTTGGGTGTTGGGCCCTGGGCATGAGTTGCCTTTCTCACCTGCAGACTTGCCTTCCAATACCAAATTCTGTCCCCTCCAATAAATACAACTTCATCTTATCATTGTCTAACTGTTGCATAAAATGGAAATCTGTCCATGTCACACTCTTGCTCAAGAACCTTCAGTGGCTCCCTGTCACCATCAGAACCAAGTCATGACACACAGGTCCTGTGGTATCTCATCCTCCTTGCCTCTCCTGCCCTATCTTCTCCATGCAATAGGCTCCAGTCACACGAAATTACTTATCTTCCCCTAAATATCCACATTATTTCTCACCTCTGTGCCTTTGCACACAAATCTTACACTGAAAATGCCATATACTATAGTGTTTGCTAAACTGCCTGGTAAGTCTAATAAGACTTACCTAAAGAGCTTGTGGAAATGAATATTAATTCCTAGGCTCACCTGTGGAATATGGATCTCCAGGTGATGGACCTGGGTAACCTGTATTCTTAACAAGTGACTGAGGTGACTCTTCTGTCTGGCAAGGTGGAGAAACACTGTCTTAGTGTGCCTTTCCCGCTGCTAGACTACTGCACATCCATCCTTCCAGATTCCCTTGAGGGTCACCACCTCCAGGAAGACTGTCTGATGCTCCTCCTCCTCCCACAATTATGATGACGATAGTTACAATAACTAGCAGTAGTTACTGAGTCCTTACCGTTGCCCAGCAGTGTTGTAAGGACTGGGTGCACAGTGACTCCTCTGGGGCCTGGGAGGCATGCTGCTGTTATCTCCACCACAGCTACAGAAACTGCTGTGGACATTCCTTCACCGTGAGAGAGCTCTCAGGAAGCACGGAGAGGTTTAGCAGGTTGCCCAGAATCAGAGCTGAATTCTGAAGCTAGGAGTGTCCCTTCAGAGCCCTCCCTCAGGCACCTAATGTGGCTAGGTCACACCTACCAATCACACAGTCATCTTGTGGGCTGAGGGATGGCTTACTGGCTTCTTCCCTCCTCTACCGGATTCTGAACTCCAGAAGCAGATATTTGACATCCTCAGGGTGCAGTCAAGTTCTATGCACACGCTAAGAGCCTAGTAAGTACGTGTGGCAGGAAAAGCGATGACAGGAGAACTGGTGAGTGCGGGAAGCTGCCGTGGATCTTTGTTTTAGCAGGCAAAAGGTGGATAAAGCAAAATATAAGCAGAGGTGCCTCAGCTTTCCCAAAAGAACCATGTTGCTTTTTTCTCTGGAAGGTGTAACCTGGCCCCGGTGCAAGAGTACGCCCGGGATGTGGGGCTGAAGACCGACCTGGTGACCATGAACCCTTCTGTCATCCAGCGTGCCTTTGAGGACTTGGTCAACGCCACGTGGCGGGAGAAGCTGCTCCAGCGGCTGCACAGCCTCAATGGCAGCATCCTGTGGATCCCCGCCTTCATGGCCAGGGGCGGCAAGGAGCGCGTGGAGTGGGTGAACGAGCTCATCCTGAAGCACCGTGTCAACGTGCGTACTGCATACCCCTCTCTGCGTCTGCTGCACGCCGTCCGAGGGTGAGCGGCCCCTCTCTGGGGATGGGAGCCATCAGAGTGGGGACGGGTGCTATGCTTGGTAGCAGGTTAACCTTCCCCAGGTTAATGTCCATCTCAGCTGCCCCACTTGCTAGCTGTCTGACCTCTGCAAGTCAGCTGGTCTTCCTGAGCCTCCCTTCCTGAGAAACGAGAGGGTTGGCAAGTGGGTTTCATCTGCCATGGCAACTTTGACCAACTCGTAGTGCCCGCCTGGAGAGCGGTGTTGAGAGTAAACCGTAAGCAGGCAAGCATGCAAGCAGGAATAGTTACTGGGAAGCTGTGACAAAGTACCACTAGCTGGATGACTCAAACAGCAGAAATCTGTTGCCTCACGGTTCTGGGGGCTCGAAGGCCCACATCAAGGTGTTGGCAGAGCTGGTTCCTTCTGAGGACTCCGAGGGAAGACTCTTTCAGGCCTCTGTCTGTGGCCTGACAATGGCCACTCTTCATGTTCACATGGCGTTCTCTCCATGTGCATGTGTTCTCCAAGTCTCCCCTGACTTTAAGGATGTGAGTCATATTGGATCAGGGGCCATCTTAATGACCTCCTTTTAACTCAATGACTTCTGTAAAGAACGCTTATCTCCAAATAAGGTCACACTATAAGGTACTGGAGGTTGAATTCAACATAGCATTGGGGCCAGCTAGCCGCTTTCCCACTCAGAGTCTTGGATTCAGGGCACCTGTGCTAGGAGAGTCCCTAAGCACCAAGGATTCTCAAGATTCTTGCCCACCTGAGATAGTTCATGGGCCTGGGCATTGCAGAGTGGGCAGCACGGTCCAGAGACCTTGAGCCAGAAGGCTTGCCTTGCAACTCCTACCACCCCTGCCCCAGCCTGAGCAGCTCTTCCACGGGACTTCCAGCTCTGCCGGCCTACGAACTGGCACAGGGCCTGGCTGGCTGCTGGTGAGGGAGGTGAGCAACTGAGGGGGAGGACACCAGGCAATGAGTGTGGCTCTGGGGAGTGGGAAACTGGTCAGCAGCTGGTAGTGAATGGCTCTAATTCAATTACAGCAATGGGGAAGGCTGTGACCCACAAAGAGGGCAGGAAAGCAGGCCCATTCATCTGCCCAGCCCACAGGCCTGGTGCAGAGCTGGCCTGGGAATTGGTGCTTAATTAGGCACCAGAAGTGCTGAGCCGAGGCCCCGGAATGGCACTGATCCAGTGGGCATCCCTGCCAGGGCTGGAGCAGCGTGTTGGCGAAGCAGGCCATGCTGCTTGTCAGTGGGGAGCAGGACTAAGGACCAGCGGGCAGGCCCGGCAGTGAAAGATCAGGCACAGCGCAGAGACTATGGGGAGACCAGCAAGGGCCAGGGGTGTCCCCAACCAGACACACCCATCACAGTGCACAGGGCATGCCCCGTGCACCGGTCACAGGAGCTGGGTGCTGGTCTTCTCCAGTGGACACAGAGTGCAGACGTGTGTTCCACAGGGGTATTCCGTGATGAAGAAACTGAGCCTCAGATGGCTAATGGCATTTGGTCATTTTTAAAGGATTACCTCTAATTTTTTAACAGCAATGCACGTAGTAAAAATCCAAATAGTATAAGAGGACTTAAAGTGAAAAAACCTCCTCCACAAAGGCAGCCTTATTAAACTGGTTTTCTGTGTGTCCTTCCAGAAAAAGCCCCCTTTACACATAAGGAAGCATGTTTTAAGCACCACCCACATCGTGTTAAATTCTGGAAACTATTCCACATTGACAGATGCCACCTTGTTTTACTTCTCCGCTTCCTAGCCTTCCACCAAGCCTGCGCCGCAGTTAACGTAAGCAAAGCCATGGGTGGTGGGGGACACAGTGGGTGCTTTCGTCTTTTGCTAATATAACCAGTACCACAGTGATCATCTTTCACTGACACCGGCACACATAGTTCTGCACAAGGCTTGCCTTTTAGAAGTGTCACTGCTAACAAGACAGATATATGCATTATTAATTTTTATAGAAACTGCCAAGTTACACCTAGGATTATTAAAAATGCTTGTTTTTCCATAACCTCGCCAACATGGTGTATTATCTTTGCCAATCCAGTAGAAAACGGCATCTGATTGTTTGAAATTTGATTCCTTTAATTACAGGTGAGGGCGAATATAATTTTTCAGTTGGGAGTGGCATTAGTTTAAATCCCATAATCTAGCCAAAAGGTTTAAGCTCCCCTACATCCCCTCTGCCAAGAAATGGTCTGGCTGGGCCTATACAGTCTCTTGACTCTCTGGGGGTCCCACTCCGTAGCAGGGGAACCCCTCGAGTAACCAGCATCGTGTTTTTCCTTTTCTTCTGGCAACATGCTGTCTACAACGCTGTTAGCCTGCCTGTCACACGTGCAGACCCCATGGCTGCCTAGAAGAGTGAGATCAGTGCTGTGTGGGTGGGTCTCCCACACAAAAGTACTGTGGTCTCCTTCCCTTGCCCGGCCTGTGCCCTCAGAGGGAGCCACTAGCCTCTGCTCACTCGTTCATTGCTTCATTAAGACTTGTGAAGCTGCACCTACTTTATGTATGTTCTTTGTGCATGTGCTATGCTAGGATCTGGGGTTCATGCAGAAGCCAATCCACTTGCTCCCAGAATTTTAAATTATAAAGGGAGAAAGACAAGTAAACAAGTAATTACAGGGTAGCATGACAAGTGCTGTGATAGGGAAAGAACAACAGACGGAAGACAAAATCCTCTGGGTAGATTCCGGGTAGAGTTCCTGCAGGACTTGACCTTGCAGTTGAGACCACAAGAAGGGGCTGCCTGTCAGGAGTCGTGGAAGATGATGGGGTCCTGGAAGAAGCCAAGGAGTCCCTCATGGCAATGTGACTGCTTATCAGGTGGTAGGAGGGATTTCAGGCCCAGATCTCCAGGGTTCACAATCCCGGCTGAGGCCACTGGCTGTTACCCTGTGGATTCCAGGAGTCACTGGAAGGTTTTGGGTGGCATGGTCAGACTGGAGGCTAGCTGACTTATTTGGTTAAACATGGAAACCTAGGAACAAGGAATCAGCTTCAAGCATCCCCAGACTTGAGCAGCTCTGCACTCTAGCCCCAAATTCTTACCATTACTGCAAAGCTGGGCAGCCTTGTCCAGACATGTCCCCCAAGACAGCAGAGTCTTAAATAGTGCTTCCAAAGACAGGACAGCAACAGGGCCAAGGCTGACGATGTGGGTGACAGGAGACCGGGAGCCAAAGCCTTCCGTTCCTGGCCTCACTGCTGACTGTGCACAAAATAGCAGCAAGTGTCCCTCTGCAACCGCCTACGAGGCACTCCTGCTCCTGAAGGATGAAATGAGCTACATCCCAGGAAGTGCTTTTAGCTTCTTGGAGAAAGCCCTTGTGGTCTCCTTTTCCAACACTGGTAGCCCCCATTCTCACCACATATCAAGCCCAGGCATCCAGGGAGAAGGACGAATGTGCTTTCGAGATGCTTTTGTTGAGCCTCATTTATTGCTGTCCGTGCTCATAAACTACAGTGCTTAATAGTTTTGGCAATTGGGGTAACCAATTTGAAAAACAATTACTGCCTTCTTTGAGATTACTTTGCCTTCTAATTAAAATCTCAAGCCTGGGCCATTAAAGGTGCACTGTCAATATGATATCCCAGATGCACCCAGCTAACCGCATTTGGGAGGGCAAAATTAATTGGTTAGTGTTTTAACACCCAGCTGTTATCCTAAGGAAAGAAACAGTCTACAAGTCGGCCAAGCACACAGTCACTAAATTGGCTGGAGCAACTGAGAAGATATAAACGGAATCGAGAGTGTTTTGTTCCTACGGAACTTGGCCAGCCTCTCTTACAAGCTGCTCATTAAACAGTGCCCTGTGTCCTGTCACATGTCTCTCAGGAGTTCTTGTTTACCTGTGGATACAGGGCAGGAAGTAGGTGGAGCCCTACCGAGTTCTCAATTCATCCCAGAGCCTCATTTGCTGTTAACACCTTTCCCAGTGAGTGATTGGGGTGAAAAGCCTGGCACAGATCTGAGAGGCTGGGCGTTTCTATTCCTGTCCCAGCCGGCCACAGTTACAAAGCTGCACGCACTGCTCACATCCTCCTTTCTCCTTTTCTTCTTCTTCCCATTTTTCAATTTTACTGGAGTTGAACATTTGCTGGGTGCAAGAGAAGTCAGGATACTCAAGTCAAGGCTGGGCTGCAATACCAAACCCTGGAACCCTCATGGTTCAGCATAGCAGAAGTTCATTTCTTGTTTTTGCAAAGTACCGTGTGCTGCAAGGGGCTCTCTTCCAACCAGTGACTCAGGGATCCAGGATTTGTCCATCTGAAACTGACAGCATCTTTACAGGAGACTCTGAAGTTCCCCAAAGCAGAAGAGAAAGTGAGGACCTGATCTTGAGCAACATGAGCCCAGAAGGAATATATCTGTAGTGAAAGCCTACTGGTCAGAACTGGTCACGTGATCCCAGCCCAAAGACAAGGAATTCTGAGAGAGATAGGGGACCACATGGAGTATTTGCTGAGCACTACTCTGTCTGCCATAGAGCCTTGGCTGCAGCAGGTACGGAGCCAGATGCCTTTGAACCTCCTACATAAGAGCAAAAGGTGTGGCCCCTGCTCTTGAGGAGATCAGAGTACAGTTTTGCACAGGAGGCCAACCCACACAGTAGTGGATTGTTAGCCCAGGCTGATAAGCACACTGGGAGAAGCAGAAACAAAGCTCTTGATAATAATGTGGAAATGATTAAGTCAATATGAGCTAGAGAGATGACGATAGAGCAAAGGGAACATTTCTAAGAAGATGTGATGTACCGTACGTACTTAGTTCTGGGGGCGGATAAAAAAAGAGGGAGAAAGAGAGTTCACTGAGGGGACACGTGAGGAAAAGGCGTATCTATGGAGAAGGCGCACCACAGGTCTGTGTAACCGGACCCAGATATGAGCTCCTTGGATGTTTCACCACAGATTAAATTCCCTCCCCACCTCTGGGCATAGCATTAATAGCCTGCAAAGAAATTTATTTCTGAAAGCCTTGCCCTGCTAAGTCCATACTATCCTAAATAAACAAACCACAAATCCCTAATAGGGCCTGTGGCCAGTGCTAGGGCTTGACTCGGTTCAGGGAGTGGTCAGTGAGATGCAGTCATGCAGAGACACTGCCAGTTGGTTGCATGTCCCTGGATGGTGTCAACAGCAGCTGTAGCTGGCCTACTCCCAGCCCCAACTCTCCCAGAAGCACACAGGGTGGAAAAGGTCCAGGAGACGGGCGTAGAGGAGCTGCATGTCGGCTGAGCTCTATCTAACCAGCTGCATGAGAAGTCTGAGTCTTCTCAGGCGAGTCACCCTGCACTCACATGGTTTCCTCTGTTGCCTGAAAGAGGACAAATTCAATCCAGGAGACCCACAGATAACCCACAGACACGGTCTGTTTGACCCACCCAATGAGGCCACAGGTGGTATTTTTTGAATTTTTGTAAATTAGTTGCCAACATTTAAACATTTGGAGAATTTACATTTAAAAATCCAGATTTTGGATACTCTTGATGAAAAGAAGAAAATCTGGCACTGGACAACAGTAAAATTATCTACCCCTTTAGATGCCACAGTCCCCACCACTCCTTACTGTCTTAACAACACTGAGTTCATGTGTCAGTTTTCCTTACATGTGTCCCACCTCCCAGCTCACTCCATTATATCCCCCACCAGGCCACTGGGCTAGAGGACTCTCCAGGCCCTATTGTCCTTAAAACCCTACAACTATTCCGTGTGCTTACAATTTTTCCTCCTTCTGTCTGAACATGTGTCATTCTTCAGTTCCTTTGGCACAGCCACCTTCCAGTTAGAGCAAGGGTTCACAGCCTTGGCTGAATATTTGAATTACTGGGAGAGGTTTTAAAAATTCATGTTCAGGCTACACCTGGAGGTTGGACCCAGGCATTAGTTTTCTTAAAGCTGCAAGTGATTCCAGCATGCAGCCTAGGTTGATAACCCACTGAGTTGGAGCTGAAAGTGCAATGGGTCTGCTCAGGGGGTGCTGAGGTCCTGTGACTAGAGGTGGTTGAGCCAAAGGGGATGAGCAGTTGGCCAGGATGTGTGGAAGAATCCTAACAGCAGCGGCTGCTCTTCTGGGATCGTCCTCCTCCACGCATTCACCTTGCCTTTACCCCCATCCCAGGGTCCTCCCAAGTTCAGCGTAGCCTCACTGAGTGTAAAGAGTACTGAGGTGGTCTAAGGAAGGACTCCTTTTCTAAGGATGCCCCAACCTCAGCATCAAACATCCTGCCCCCCACACCCTGGCCAGCACCTCCCACATATTAGCAGGTGATGACATGGGATAGTCCTGGACAGTCCGTTAGACCAGTCACACTACCCTGGCTGCCCCATATCTGCTTGGGCCTCATTATGAAGGGTAAAGAACATGGAGTTGGAGTCAGAAAGCTTGGAGGGGAGTCCTGGTTCTATACGTTGTCAGCTTGGGATCACCTAGGTGACCTTGGGCAAGCCACTTTTCATCTCAGAGCCTCATTTCTGCACTTGTGTCTACGAAGAGGCTCGTCTTATTTCCATTAAATCACACATGTGAAAGCATAAGGGCGTTGGCTCCATTGCTAAATGAGTGGTGGGTGTCATTCCTCTGTGAAGGGAACTGGGAGACGGTTGCCTGACTGGTCTCTACAACCCCTGGAGCAGCAGGGTGCACTATTCCTCTCCCTTGAAAGGATAATTTACAAACTCATGTTTCCTCTTTTTATTTCTTTGGTCACTTTCTTCTTTTTTCAGATACTGGCTAACCAACAAAGTCCACATCAAAAGACCCACCACTGGCCTCTTGATGTACACCCTGGCCACACGTTTCTGCAACCAGATCTACCTCTACGGCTTCTGGCCCTTTCCGCTAGATCAGAACCAGAACCCCGTCAAGTACCACTATTACGACAGCCTCAAGTACGGTTACACCTCCCAGGCCAGCCCCCACACCATGCCCTTGGAGTTCAAGGCCCTCAAGAGCCTGCACGAGCAGGGGGCTTTGAAACTGACTGTCGGCCAGTGTGATGGGGCCACGTAAGTGGGCACCCTGCAGGACTCAGTGGCTCACATTTCCTGCCAGCTATACCACAGGCAGATGGGAGTCGGGGTGGCACAAACTATAGAACAAGCAGGCTAGTGGTTTTCTTTGTTAAAGTGTAAAACAGTGACCAGAATATATATATCTATAACTGCATATATATATTGACCTGAGTATTTATAACTGTGTGGTGTTCATCTAGCATTAGGCAGATAAGCCACAGGAAGAAGGTGTGGAGAACCCACCAGAATTCAGACTCGGTCCATCTCTGGGGGCAGAAGGACTCAACATGAAAAGCAGCCAGTCCCATGACTTTGGATAACAAATTGCCTCCTGGATTGGAGGGATCTCTGGGCTCGTGGATGAATGGAGAGCCACCTGTTGGCAGCTGCCTTGAGCCTCAGAAATGTGGATTCTGAGTCAGCCGAGACCCAGAGGGGACAATCTGACTGAAGTCTAAAGTGCAGCTGTTCACAGAGGAAAGGGAGATTGGAGCGTTCCGCTGGCAAAGGAGCACAAGGACAACAAGAAGCAGAGGCCACGTCCCAGTCTGAAGGCCTTCCCACGCACATAGAGTTCGGATGCTCAAGGGACAAACCATAGGTGACCCGCCTGTTCCAGACAGGCCTCCACCACTACAGAGAGGCGGCTGGAAAAGACACAATGGAAGGTTGTGTTCTGGCTTAGCAAGAACCACCAAGAACCCAGGACGGAGCAGGCAGATGACACTAAAGAGTTGGGTGCTGCAAATTGTGTTTTTGAAAAACTGTGACCTTCTGTTAAGATTCAGTACTTCACCTTCGGAATAAGACAGAAAAGGGTCCAAACGATGGTTGTAATGGATGTTCTCTAAAGCAACTTGAGTCCGCTAAGGAGAAAGGGACCCTGAGATGTCATCCTCAGAGTTAGCCTCCTTCCTGCCCTGTTAGAATGTAACATGAGGGACTGTACTGTCCCATTCCGCCACCAGGAAAGCCACAGCAAAACCTTGAAAGGGCACTGCAAAGATAAATGTCATCCTTTCAAAAATATATGACTGCCTTTCTGGGTGCCTCCAGAGCCCCAGAGTGTGAGGCCTAAAAGACTGTGAAGCATTTAGCTCCATTTGTCTGCAAGCACTCTGCTTGCTTTCCACAGTGTGCACACCATGGGGCCTCTGCAGCCAGGCTGCTGTGCCAGCGTCACTTCCCGTCACTCTCCTATCCTGATGGTCACACTAGCCAGCACTGAGCTCCAACACTGAGGCTTTCAGCTCTGCAGGAGAGGTCCCAGTGTCCCCTCCACCCCCTTCCCTGCCAGAGGCAATGATTTTAGAATTTTGCAAAATCTGTTTTTCCTTAATTAAGATAAGTAGTTAAGACTTTGTTTAAACCCAAAGCCAAAGGCAGTATCCAAATACTGGACATAATGTCCCCAGGGAGAACCTGGGCTCAATGCCAATAATTTAGGGGTTGGAATCACAGGTCATGTAGAGACAAGCATTAGCCAGCTTGGTTTGTTAGATGTATTTTCTTGTCTGATAAATAATGGTGTTTTAAAACATGTTTGAAAGATAAGTAAAAACCCATTATCTTGAAGGTGAAGAGAGTTAAGAAAAATAATCAAGATCTGCTCCCCAGCATATGAGACCGGACATAATTAATCAGTGACAATTGGGCATAGGAAAACTGCCCCTAATTAATGGCTGATGAGAAGCCAGTAGAGGATACTAAGAACCCTTACCCCAACGTGAGGACACTCCAGCTCCAAACCGTGATTACGATTCTGCATCTGTTTCTTTCTTTGTTGTGCCTGTGGATGCTCAAAGCCTAAGATTTGGGATTTGCAGGATAAAATGAATATTTAAGAAAGCACCAGCCCTAACAGCCTCTGTGGGAACTGAGTGGTTTGGACTCGTCATGAGAAGTGGAAATAATTAATATCATATTTTATACTTCTTCGGGGCCTTTCATTTTGAGGATCTCAGAGGCCCCGGGAGACATTTAACTTCTGAAGCTTGCAGAGCTGAGGGGAATCAGCAGGACTGCAGCAGGGCCTCCATGGATGAGCCAAGGTCTTGGATTCTAGGACATTCCAATGGTGAGCCCTGATGTCAGGTCCTGAAGTTGGCCCTGAGCTCCACCTACCTGTCAGCGTCCCGGGGGACTTCAAAGGCCAGAACTCTTTAGAAGCTTGGCTTTCCTTCTGGCCCATCCTGGTTTCTTAAACTGACACTGAGAAGAGTTGAAGTGGAAAGGCCCTTGCAACCTGCCTCCAGGCTCCCTCCGAAGAGAGGCTGGGGACCTTGGATGACCCACACACATCACCATCCCCCAACTCACAGGTCCTGCGCTGCCATAAAACTTTGGCCGTGCTCCCAGGGACTTGGCTTCCCCTCTCTCCTTGACCTTCTGCATCTAGGCACATGCAGTCGGAAGGTGACCGTTCCTTCTCTGCCTCTTTACAGCTCAGTTTGAGGGAGATTCCACTGCAGCCTCCAGCATTAGCCAGCTAGCCTGAGGGAGATGGGGGCCAAGAAGTCCCCTGAACCTCATACCCTGATCTGCTGTATTGTCATGACAGTGGACACAGCCACCCTGGGCCCTTCCAGTCACTACCTGTGGGCCCTCAGTCAACCCCCAGTTGCCCTGATATCCCCCACTCTAAAGCCCCTCAAACCTCCATTCTCCTCAAGCCCCCAAATGACCCCCACTATCTGCCTCTTCCTTCGCTAAAGAAATGAAGCTCACTGAAATGAGGCCTCAAAAATCTCTTGATCTCCACCACCCTCCTTTCATCTACTTTCCTCCCATTTCAGAAAGAGCAACATCCACCCTCAGGCCAGTGACATTTTCCCTGACACCCTCAGCCACTCCTCTTTGGCCTCTGTCTTCTCTGTCCACTAACACACACTCATTCTCCCACGGCCCCTTCCCTAGGAAGGCATCTCCAGGCTTACATGGTCCTCCCTCCTGAGCCCACTTGGCCTCCACGCCCCTGGTGCCTCCACAGTGCCACATCCAAAGGCCCTTTCTCATCAGCAAGCTCTCTGCATCACTTGGTTCTATAGAGACCCCACCTGGACACTCCTTGACCCCTTGGGTTTCCAGGCTGCCATGTTCTGGTGTTTTTTTCTCCTCCCTTCCCAACGCTGCTTTGTCACTTATTTATGTATTTCTTTATTTATGTATTTATGATTTATTTATTGATGCCCTTGCCTTAACCTAAAAAGGAGCCAACGTAGATCTGACCATGACTGCTGCCTCTTCTCCTCACCCACAACACAGACATTCCCCTTCCATCCTCCCTCCACTCTCCATCAGCAACCCTGCAGGGTCCACCCTTCCCTGCAGCCCAGCCCGTCTCCCAGGTTCCAGGCTTGGATCACACATTCCTTGTTGGACATTTGCCCCACCTACTCTGGCAGTACCATAAACTCACACATCTGAAACCAGGTTGATCATCTCTGCCTCCCCTTCCTCCACAATCCCTCCTTTTTCTGTTATAAAACCCATGATCCCCTCCACCACCCAGTTCTGAGACCCTAAAGGCATCCTCGACTCTTCTCCATGTATTTCCTTGCTGCTCCTCCCCGCCAGCACTAGCCTGGCCTCCTTGCCACATGGGCCATTTTGGCGGCAGTCTCATCTCCTAGGTTTCCTCTGGCCATGCCTGCACCTTCTCCAGTCCATCCTGAGCATGCAGAGCGATTTTTATCTCCAGCCATGCCCACACTTCTAAAAGTTCCCATCCCACAAAATAACGTACAAGTCTTCATGGTGACCTTACAGACATGGGCCCCATTGTCCCTTTGCACCCTGCACCTGTTGTCAGTCCTGGAGGAGGTGCCTGGTTTTCCTGTCTCTGTGCCTTTGGTCTCGCTGTTCTCATCTTCTAGAATGTTCTTACCACCTGGATGCTCTCTTCTGTTTCCTTCAAGGCCCATGCAGAAAGCACATCTTCCATGAAGCCGTCCCCAATCTACCAACCACTGGGATCTCCCCTCCGCTGAACCACCATAGCACTTTATTTGTACCTTTCTCATGGCACTTATCATATTCTGCCTTGTATTATAGTTACTGTGCACTTGTCCTATGACTGTTCTTAGATTGTAAGCTCGCCAAGGGCAGGGACTGTGTTTTGTTCATCTGTGTCCAACACAGCACCAGGAGTGGTGCATAGTGCACAGCAGTTGGTCAATAAATGTTTGTTGGATTAAATCCTTAATCCCTGTCTCAGGTTTTATAATTAATGAAGTCATCTTGCATCTATAATGTCACAAGAAACTCCAAAAAAATCAAGTGAGTTGGGCAGGTGCAGAAATCATTATCCTCATTGTAGAGGTCATAAAACCAAGGCAAAACATGATGTGAAGGCACACAGGTCGGCAGAGGTTGCATCCAGGTCTTCCTACCCACTACACCAGGGCTTTTTCTGTGAATCCTTGTGAGCTGGTCATTGTAAACTAAACACTGACCCTAACTAAGCACAGTCCTGGCTGCTGCGGGTCTGGGCATCACCTTCATAGACAGGCGAACCTCACTGTGAACCCCAGTTCTTGTGCCCATGAACACAGGCAAAATCACACCCCTTTGGGGGGAGGGCAAAAGCCATTCAGGTTTCACAAGGCCCATGAGGTGGAGCTGTGGGACCTCATAAATCATTCCTGCTGCTGCTGTCACAGAGTAGGGAACCATCTGCCCAGATGGCAAAGAGACCAACAGCTCCAAGGGTTGCTGTTTGATAAATCTCTTCATGCCTAATGAAGGCTCCCCGTCCAGGATGGACAAAGCAGGGACAGGGATGAGTGATGCTGGTCACATGAGACTCAGACATGCGTGCTGCCTCCTGAATGCCCTTTACAGCATCCCCTCAACACCGACAGCCTGCCCTTACCTCCTGTCTCTCACCAGCGCTGCTGGGCGGCATCACCCTTCCTATCTTCATCCTATCTTTTTGCTTTCCCTCTCCATAGCTCTTCCCCTGGGCATCCACCAAGAGCAGGGTAATCTCAGAGAACT